CATTCACCCTTCGTATCCACCCTCCCCCACAGTCCCCAAATCCCCTTTTTCCCAACCCCGCCCCCCCCTCCCCCCCCTCCCCGCCTCTGCCAACCCCATACCCACCAACACAGCCCCCAAATCCCCTTGTTCCCAGCCTCTGCCACCCCAAATCCCCTTGTTCCCAGCCTCTGCCACCCCATATCCACCAACGCAGCCCCCAAATCCCCTTGTTCCCAGCCGCCGCCACCCCACATCCACCAATGCAGCCCCCAAATCCCCTTGTTCCCAGCCGCCGCCACCCCACATCCACCAATGCAGCCCCCAAATCCCCTTTCTCCCAGCCTCGCACACGCCCTCCACGTACACGCGCTCTTGCCCAGGCTATGCTGGCACCCCTCTCGCCACATAACTCCAGCCCCATGCTACAACCAGCTGGCGTTAAATAAAAAATAAACACTCCACCGGAGGGGTGGGGGTGGGGGCCAGGGTTCAGCGCCCACCCCTAACGATGGAGTGTCTCGCGGTGCGTAGGCCAACTCAAGACAACAAGCGAGTACACTGGCAGCCGGGGTGACGTGCGGTGGGAGGGATCGGTCTGCGGGCAGCCCCCCCTTTCCCTACCCCTCCCCAGCTGCCCGTACCTCGTTCCTGGGCCGTGGGAGCCGGGAGTTCTTCCTCACAAACTCGTGCAGGGCCTGAAAGGCCAGGTGAAGTTGCTGCGGATTCTCAAATTTGGCAAAGTCGGTGGTCAGTATCTCCGGCTCGGCCAACGATGCTTTCAAGGATTTCTGTGCATTGGGGTGGGGGTGGAGACAAACGGGAAATCGCGGGTCAGCAACTGCGGTTCGGCGCGCGAGCTGCCACCTGTGAGGAAAACACAAGCTCTGCTACTCACAAAGCTCAGCTTCTTGGCCATTTTCACTTGAGTCACTATGCCTCCACGGACATAATCGGAGAACGCCGAGGTATCGCAGATACTGAAAGTGTACGGACCTGTCAAACGACAGAGAAAGAGAGAGAGAGAGATGGGTTTCACAGCACGAGACGCTCACCGGAGACTGCAAGGAACGGGAGTCAACCTTGTCTGTGACGGGGTTGGGGGAAATCGGGGAGGGGGGGGGCATTCGACAAAGGTGGATGATCAGAGGCTGTCCCGCTCCCAACAAACAACCCGCCCGGGTCTGGACGGTCTACAGCGAGGAGACACTCACTATCAGGATAAGGGGCAGGCCATATCAACAGAGAGTCGGTGGGGGGAAGAGAGAGAGAGGAGGAGAGAGAGAGAGAGAGAGAGATATAGATAGAGGCGCCTTCCTGGCCAAAAGGTGGCAAATCTCATGAGTTCGTGTCAGCAGCTGAGGCCTGTCCCATCCGCAACACTCAAGGGCAAGGGGTTTGCCAACCTGGAGGAATTTGAGCAGAAGACAGGGCAGGATTGCACTGAACGGGGTGGAGGGGGCTGAATACTTCCTGTGTAACAGGCTCGAGGAGGAGGAGGGGCTGAATGGCCTCCTGTTCCTGTGTAACAGGTTCGAGGATGGGGGCTGAATGGCCTCCTGTTCCTGTGTAACAGGCACAAGGAGGGGGGACTGAATAGCCTCCTGTCCCTGTGTAACAGGTTCGAGGAGGAAGGGGCTGAATGGCCTCCTGTTCTTGTGTAACCGGCTTGAGGAAGGAGGGGCTGAATGGCCTCCTGTTCCTGTGTGATCCCAAACTTGCCAGAGCTTCGTCAGATACGGGGCCCCCGAAACGCCGTTTCATCGGATACGAGGCCCCCGAAACGCCGTTTCATCGGATACGGGGCCCCCGAAACGCCATTATCAGATACGGGGCCCCCGAAACGCCGTTATCAGATAGGGGGCCCTCGAAACGCCGTTATCAGATACAGGGCCCTCGAAACGCCGTTATCAGATACGGGGCCCCGAAATGCCATTTCATCAGATACGGAGCCCCCGAAACGCCATTTCATCAGATACGGG